TGAGATTGATAGGTTATTCAGGAGTGAGATCAGCGAGGCTTTATCACTGCCATATAGTTCTGTGTTTGATGTGCATTACTATAACGGGAGTCTAAAGGTGGATTTTCAGGTTCGGCATCCAGCCACATGGTCGTACGCTGAACTCTGTGTTAAGCTTCTTGAGCATCCCTTCAAGTCTCTCTTCATTTTGTATTCTAAATTGAAGCAAGACTGTTTGAGACGCAGTGAGGGCTGACTGATAATATAGATTTTGAAATACTCTTAATAATATACACCATACCAATGAGTATAATTTCACCAAACCATCAATACATTCATTTGAGCTGAGTTTGCCAAATATTTCCTGGAAAATGAATCAAAAAAGGATATCGAAGGAGGACTATGTGTATTGCGAGAAGACAAGATATCGTATATACACTGAAAGTGGGTTGTTGCGTAATGCTGCCAAGTTGATCCAGATATTGAATGATAATTCAAAATCAGTTAGATTATATCCGGTTTCTTTTTCATATTTAGTCTATTTTATATCTGTAATTGTTTCAATTTGTCATCAGGATTCCTTATTTTGTGTGCTCGTAGTAACATATTATCCAAATTTTTCAGTTGAGGGGAATTTTACACAATATTGTTAAACGTAACCTAGATATGATTCATTGGGATACACATTATTTTCTAATACAGGCAAAGGGTTGCCATATATTTAAAAACAAGCTCCTAGTGTTTTTAGAAGATACTTTTCTCTCTTAATGTGATTGTTATCAAGCACAACATAAGTATAAATGCGTGTAACTATGTAAATATGAGATGAAGTGAATGTATCCAATACACTGATATTTAATATATTCAAATATACCGATATTTTATACATCAAAAGAAACATTTTAGACTATATTTTTTGTGTAGACAAAGATAAATGACAGGTTAAGTTCTGAGCTGTGGAAATCCTGAGCTTTGTGACCTGTGTTTACATATTTAGTGATAAATTTAGCTGAAGTATATAAAAAAGCATCGATATTTAGGTCTTTTTTAGGACCATTTATTATCCTTCACTCCTCTCCTTTGAAATGGGTGTGTGGAAAATGTGCATTCAGTTAAAACATGATAAGATAAAAAGTATTAGTAGCAATGATTAAATATGCACAATTTTGTTTCTCTATAAATGTAATCATATTCTAATTCTCATTTTTTTTCATTGCAATTTTATTACTGGAAAATACATACATATAGGCCTGGCTTTCTTCTATATACTTCCCTTTACTGTCCTGACGTACAAAAATCATTAGAGTCCATTTTTATTTTAAATAACAAAATCAACACCGATCGATGGATCGTGCCACCGTCCAAGCTCACTCTATATTGAGAATGTACAAAGAGAATAAAGGTGAAGCATTTAACCGTGTAAGGCAACAAAATTCAAAGGTAAGTCAATTTGATAAGCCTAGATTTGCTGTGGCACCACCCACTTCAAATGTTAGCGAATCAAGGCTCACCCTAGATACTAATGACAAGGCTTCCAGGATAATTTCCAAAAATCCTGAGGCAAAAGCGGAGACCCTTTGGAAATATGACGCTAACTATGAGGCTCATAACGGTAGGCATCGTAGTATCAACGAAACATCCGTCCCAAGCCTCTCAAGGCATGTTGAGGATAAAAGGAATATACCACACCAAGCCCTTCGCCCAATAAGGAAGGTTCATGAGTCACTTTATGGTATGACTGCTTCTTTTTTTCCTAACATACCGAAGATAAAAAAGCTGAAAGAGATACAGGGTTTAAAAGGATCGACTTTCTCCTCCACTTTACCATCTTCTACCAGTGAGTCTCATCTCTTCAGCGGAACTGTTAATTCACAGTGGTCTACACGCAGAGTGATGCCCTCCTTGCTCACCCATGCTTCCCCACCCACAAGGGATTTAACACTGCAGACGCAGGACGACCATCATGCTGATCGTAACTGGCATGTGGAATATGTTCATTACAGCCGGGGGACTGTTTTAGCAACGAACAGCACGTTGAAAAAGCCATTCACTAATATGAACCAGGATATATATAAGGGGTTATGGAAGAGCAGACTAAACCATACTGAAGTTTCCCCTGTGGTGGGGTGTTCAACAAATGGGGTGTCCATACTTCCCAAGAGTCGAGATAGGGGAGGCGTCATCTTGAAGCCCTTATATGCCCAAACAATGGATATATTTGGAAAGGACCTTGCTGTGAGGACCAAGGATTCCTTGATCTCCTTCTGTGTTCTGTACGCATTGTTTCTGAACAAGACCTCTGACAGTTATGAACTTCTATCACCGAAAACGGCAAACCTTTGCATCGAGGCGAACATAATACGGGTTATGGTCACCGAAGACGATGGCGAAGACGAAGAAAAGGTTGCCGTATATATCAGCAAAACTGGAGAAAAAACACATCTCTACCAACAAGAAGGCATTACAAAGAATTCAAAGGATCAGTTTTCGACAAAAAGAAGAAATCCATTCGTTTACAGTCACTATGTTTTAGATCCCTTAAATTCTGATTTCCAAAAAAGGAGCCGGTCTAAAATGGACCAAACAACAATCAGTCGAAGCGTAGAAAAGCTGCGAAGAGAAGTTCAAGAAGCGTTCCAGCACTACAAGAAAAAACAAGGAGATTCATTGGAAGAAGAAACTATAAAGCGATTTACCACAAAATTACCAATTACCAATCAAGCATTACCATTACCATCAGATAAAGATATAGTACTAAGAGCAGCCTCTGATGATGTCCAAGAAGAAAGCAATAATGATTACCGGAGTAATACTTCAAATAAAGACCAAAACTCAATCAAATTAGAGTCCAGCAAAGAAGAGGAAATTACTATTAAGCAAAAGGGTCTAGAAGAAGAAACTGAACGCAGAAGTAGGATAAAAAACAGCGAAAGACAAATAATCTCCATAGAGAGCAAAAAATACATATACCTCGATGAAGGAAAACAAATAAAGAAGTTGTTGAGTAGCCAAGATAGATACCTTGATAAAGATAAAAAGGTAAAAACAATGCACAACAGCG